TCCTGCCCACCCCAAACTGCCGGGGCCCCACCGCTGCGGCGATGGCAGTCTTGTGGGCGTCGGTGGCCGCCTTGCCTGCCATGCGCCTGAGTGTCTCGCCGCACGCCAGTGGGCGGATGCCCGCGGGCGGCTTGCGCAAGGGCAAAAGCCTGCCTCCCAGCATGGCCCGAGCCGCTCGCTCCGGCATCTGGCCGCGCAGGATCAGCTCCAAGACTTGTGCAACGACCTCTGGCCCATCCGGACGCCCGCGGATCGCCGCCCAGTGCTCGAACCGCGCGCCCGTCAGGCCCGGCCCCGAGTGTCTCGGGAATTTGTTCAGGGCTCCAGAGATCTTGGTGGCCGCCTCTCCCTCCCAAGTCGTGGGAGCCACGCGTGGCGGGGGGCCGCGAGGCGCGGGCGCCGTCGGGAACAGCTGCGCCAGCTGGTCCGCCACGCCGGCGCCTGTGGCCAGCCTGTTGGGCCCGGCCGCCGCCGCAGCAGCCCGGCTGACCTCACCCTGCATCAGGAGCTCATGCACGCGGAGGGCCTGAGCTTCCATGCTGCGCTGCGGCTGCGCTGCCCCCGTCTCCGGCTCGCCTGGGCGCGCGGATTCGGCCCACAAGGCCGCCCAATCCCCCGCCCAAGCCTTGCGTAAGCGGTTCGCCACCACCTTGGTCGCGGAGTTCCGGTCTTCGTCGCTCTCGGAGCGCGGCGGGATGGCGAAGAGCATCCGCGGGAGCATGAGGAGCTGCGCCCAAGCCCCCTCGTCGCCTGGCCGGGCCGCCACGCCACGGCACGCGGCCGCTCCTCCTCCTCCTCCTTCTCTCCCTCCTCCTCCTCTACCTCCTCCTCCTCTCCTACGCTCGGCTCCTCCTCCTCCTCCTCCTCCTCCTCCTCCTCCTGACCTGCCTTCTCCTCCTCCGCCTCCTCCTCCTCCGCCTCCTCCGCCCTATCCTCCACCTTTTCCCTCCATCGCCTCCCTCCTGGTCCTTCTTCTCCTCCGCCGCTTCCGCCTTCTCCTCCGCCTTCTCCTGCTTCTCCTCCTCCTTTCCGCCTCCTCCTCCGCCTCCTCCTCCTCCTCCACCTCCACCTCCCCCTTTTTGTTCCTCCCCCCTCCTCTTCCTCGCTTCTTTTCACCTTTCCGCGGTGCGTGCCATAGGAACAGTCGATCATCTCTCGGTTACGGAGGCAGGGGACCAACTCCTGTTCCTCCCCCTCCTTCTCAGTTTCTGATCCTCCTCTTCCTCGCGTCTCCTCCTCCATCCTTAGGCCTTATGGATGTTAGCCAGCGTGGGCCCCAAGCAGCGTGTTGCTAACACTATATGAGGTGCAAACTTCGCGTGTAGTTGATGTAGTTCAATATATGTGGTGCCATCTATGCGTGCGTTAAACAAGCCTGCTCTGCACGTGACCACCTCCTACGCCCGTGCAGATGTCCCGCTCTCCACCCGCACCGTAGCTGCAACACCCGTGCGGCGGCGATTGCGATGGCTGCCTGGCGCGGGCTGGCGCGTCGCCGCAGCCGCGCCTGCGCGCGCAGGCTCGCGCGCAGAGCGACCAGTCGGTCTGGCGCGGCCGGCGCGGCCGTGGTGGCGCTGACCGCTGGGCACTTCCCAGCGCGCCTTGCACGCCGCGCTGACGCTCGTGCGCGTCAGTGCGAGCCAGCGCCTCGAGCGGGCGCGGTATACCATGGCGACGTCGACAGCGGCAGACACCATGATAGTAGTAGCGATGCTGGTGACGACGATGACGATTCGGGTATGGCCAGGACCCCAGGTAAGGGGACCCGGTTAGTGGTAGGGCCTTGGAGCCTTCGAATTGGCCGGAATCGCTAAACCAGGTTTGCCATGGCTGACGTTTTTTCGGGTGACGGCAGTTCCGGTTAGTGGGAATGGGACGGGGAGGCGCCCCCGGTACAGATTCATGAACCAGGTTCCGCTAAACCCAGTTCTGCCAACGCCCGAACGATGACGACGGCAAGGCCCAAGACGGCACCGATGCTGATCACGCGTGTCGGCGATGAAGGTCGAAGATGGAGTTCGACATGCGCACGCGGCCGATTCGCGCGGGTGGCCCGCATGTTTCTACTTGGCAGGGATCGTGACCCCCCCAACATACGCGCAAGGGCGTGTGAATGATTTCGACATGCGCGCGACAGGCACATTTGGTCGCACGTGAGGAACATGCTGAAAACACGGTATTCCTAATACTCAGCAAGAGCTCGCGCGCTGATTGCTCAGAGGATTCTTGTTGCACATCCGTTTCTACATGATGCAGCTTTTGTGGTGCAGCATCAGTGGCGCAAAACGCGCGGTACGTGTCCGTGCAATGTATGTGGTGCAACATAGTATGTCGTACAATCCATGCTCTGCCAACCATGTCGTGGAATCTGTGTGGTTCGGTCGATGTTGTGCAATGCATGTGGTGAAACCTATGTTGTGCGGTCTATGCGGGGCAATCCATTTGGAGCAGCATCAGTGGTGCAATCCGTGGTGGAATCTATGTGGTGCGATTTCTGTGGTGCGTGCTATGGGGGGGCATTCTATGCGGTGCAATCGTTGTTGTGTAATGTGTATTATGTGTTCAATGTTGTGCAACCGATGCTGTGCAATCTAGGTGGTGCAGCCCATATGGTGCAATCTATGTGGTGCAATCTATGTGGTGCAATCCACTCTGCTAAACTTGAAGTCGTCATCTGCACTGCTCGCGCAAACATCCCACCCACCGACCCGCAACTTGGTTTGCAAAACCTCTTAAGACCGACTACGACGACACCGACGACAACGACTACGACGACACCGACGACGTCTCCGACGGCTTCGACGACGACAACGACGCCGACGCCGACGACGACGAATACGACGACGACGACGCCAACGAAGGCGACGACGAGGGAGGAGGAAGGAAGACGACGGCGGCAACGACGACAACGACGACAACGACGAGGGAGGAGGGAGGACGGCGACGACGCGAACAACGAAGAAGGAGGAAGGACGGCGACGCCGCCGACGACGACGACGAGGGAGGAGGGAAGACGACGACGACAACGACGACGACGACGACGACGGCGACGAAATAGGAGGGACGACGACGAGACGCCGACGACGGACGACGACGACGACGAGGTAGGAGGAGGAGGAAGGACGACCACGGCGACAACGACGACGGAAACGACCACGCCAAAGAGGACGACGACGACGACGAACACGAGGAAAGACAGAGGACGACGTAGGCGACGACGACGACAACCTCGGGAGGAGGGAGGACGGCGACGACGACGACGAGGACGCAAGAGCGCGCGCGCACGCTTTGGTTGAAAATCCGTGTTGCGAAACCTTAGGTTTTTTTAAAGGTTTTTTGGACACACGATTTTGAAATCCTTCCGAAACCGATGGGTTTGGAAGGTTTTCGGCATACGCGCGCGACGACGCGCGCGCTTGCACTTCGTCCCATTTTTTGCAAAATCTTCTCGCGACGGCACACGCGCAAGGGCGTTCGACAGATTTCGACATGCGCGCGCGAAGCCCGTTTAATAGCATTTTGTGAAAATCTGGATAAACCGATGGTTTTCTTAAGATTTTGCAAGAGCTCGCGCGGAAGTTGTTTTAGCAAATCAGTGTTGCGGAACCCAGTGTTTTTGTATGTTTATTGGAAACTCGATTGCGAAATCCTTCCGGTACCGAGGGTTTTTGAAGGATTTCGGCATGCGCGCGCGAAGACGCGCAGTGTTATGTTAGAACAACATATTTCACCGCATAGTTTTTTACAAGGGAGCCTCAGGGGGGGATACCGGTTGGCATTTGACATTGTGATTTTATATTTAGGATGGACATGTGGTCATAATCATACATGATTCACATACCCGAAAGGTGAAGGGATAACTCCGGGGGGGGTAGATCCAATTCTGTTTTTAGAAAGGAGAATCCATGTGGAGCAGCCGCTGTGGTACAAGTCTACGTGGTGCAATTTACGCGGTGCAATCAGGCAGTCACCCGCCGTCACGTGGACCGGCGGCGACCCCGCCGCCAGCGTGCAATGCTGAACGCTGCTGGCGACCTGGAGTCGATCGATGTTGAAGGATCTGACGTTTCGGGAACGGCTGATCGTTCAAGGCTGAACGATCCTCGCGGTGTCGGGAGCCATGGTCGGGGGGTCTTCACGACACGGACCTGTTGTACTTGCGAGAAGGGACCTGCGCAATGGCCGCAAGCGGTGATCGCAGTAGCCACGGCGTTGGGCTTGGGGCCGATGCTCCGGGGGCCGCCTCGGGTTCGGGAGCGGCTTTGGTTTTCGAGCTGCTCCTCAGACCTAGATCGGGGAATCGATTCGTGGCCGAGGTTCGCCGTGGCGAGAGCGCCCCCGCCGTTCCTCACGACTTGGCGTTCCTTTCCTTGTGGCAGTGCAAATGACTGCAGCAGGCTCGATCTGCACGGCGGGGGGCAGTTCTCCAGATTTCTCGCAGGCACCGCGTCGTTGTCGGGGAGGAGTGTCGAATCGGTCTCGCTCGGTGTTGTCGGGGAGGAGTGTCGAATCGGTCTCGCTCGAGGGGGGGTGGGCGACGCTGAGTCTGCAGTCGGGACCCTTGCTCAGCGTGCCGCGCCGCCAGTTCTGGCACGCCGCGCCTCGACGCGACGCACCGAGCACCTTCCAGTCCCCACGCGTCCGCGCCCCGAGCTCCTCCTGGCCCCCCCCAAACCCCGCGAAGCAGGGCGACACACCATCGGCTCGCAGGTCGCCCTTCGCGCGTCGCAGGGCGGCCGCCGCCGCGAGGCGCGGAGCACGAGCTCCCGACAAAAGTCAGGAGGGGAAAAAAACACACAGACACAATTAATCGTTTGTCGATTCCCTAGAAAATATGTGAAAATATGGGAAGTGGGGGGGAAGACAAAAACCCAGAAAATATGGGGAAATGTGGGGAATATTTTTATTTGTGTGTATTTATTTGTGTGTCCCAGGGCCCCTTCAAAAAGGTCGCCCGCGGGTGCGCCCCCGCCCGCCGCCGCCGCGCCGCCTCCTGGCAGGCGCGGGGCCGGACGCCTTCTTCACCTTCGAGACGAGCATCGGCCTCGGGGACCCCTACCAGGAGCGGGGCGGCGCCCGCTTCCTCCTCGTCGTCCTCCTCCTCCTCCTCCCCCTCCCCCTCCCCCTCCCCTTCCTCCTCCCCCTCCTCCGCCTCCTCCTCCTCCGCCTCCCCCTCCTCCTCCTCCTCCTCCTCCTCCTCCGCCTCCCCTCCTCCTCCTCCTCCTCCGCCTCCCCCTCCTCCTCCTCCTCCGCCTCCCCCTCCTCCTCCTCCGCCTCCTCCTCCTCCTCCTCCGCGGCACAGGAGAACCAGGGAAGCGGCGCTCCCGGGGGGGTGCGCGTCGCCGCCGATCGAAGAAGCAACCGCTGCATGAACAGAAGCACGCGGAGCGCGCCAGGGACGGGGGGGTTTGGCGCCGGCCCGGGACATCTGCGCTGAGCTCCGAAAGTGTGTGCTCATGCAGGCAAGCGTCTGATCGAGAAGCTTCCTCCGCCAAAAGCTGGGCCAGCGCTTCTCAACCGACTTGCCAGAAAGCTGGCCCGGTTCCTTGAGCGCGTTTGCCCCTCCAGCGTTAACGCGAGAACCTGGCCCAGGCTTTCCATAAGACATGTCCGGGAAGGTTGCCAAGATTGCTCAACTGTGAATTTGTTTTTCCTTCTTCCTCGTCGTCTCAAGTCCCGTGGAGGCTGAGCGGGTGGGTCGGGCTGCTGCCCTCTCAGTGCCCCGTTCCCAGACCCACGACATCGTGATCTTTTCACGACGCCGACTCCTCGAGGTCCCGGCCCCATGCCCCGGAGACCGGCGTTTCGTCCCGAGTCGTTTCTTGACGGCCTCTGGAGGCCCGGCAAGGGCCTCCAGAGGCCGAACATAGCGAGAAGCCCTCCGTCGTGATGTTTGTGTGCGCGCGAGGGGGTCGGGGTTCGCCGCGTGCCCGGTGGTCCTCTGCCGCCCAGGGGGCCGCGGCCCCTCCTCTTGCCCAGGAGGGCGGGCCGAGTCGCCGCCTCGCCCATGCCAGGGCGGGTGCGCGGGCAGCGCTGCGCGCGGGGTGCTCGGCACGCGAGAGGAGGGGGGCCAGAGATCCGACGCTCCCCCAGAAAATTGGAGCGGGCGTTTCTTTGTTGTTGTTGTTGTTGTTGTTGTTGTTGTTGTTGTTGAACATTATTTATTCTAAAGAATAATTATTGTTGGGCCCCCTGGTGCGCGCCCCCCCTGCGCCGCCTAGGCCGCAGCTACATTTTCATCATTTTCGTGAGGAAGCCTCAGAAAAGAGGGTGTGTACAGGATCCGGTTGTTTTGTTGTAATCCGCTTTCCCTTGCAAAAAACAATAGAAAATGACATTTCTTGTTCTAATATAATCAAATTTCAAGAATCCCTTGCAAAAAATAAGGTAAAGTGGACATTCGCGCGCGCAAGACGAAATCCTTCCAAAACCTTAGTGTTCGCAGCGATTTTAACATAAAAACATCAAAAAACCAATGGTTTTTCAACAAAAAATTGTCAAAATCTCATCCCGCGCGCTCTTGCGGATTCGTAGGAAACCCAACACTTTTTAAACATTTCTGTCAAACGGGCTTTTGCGAGCAACTTTTTCGAACTTCTGCGACAACGGTTGCGCACCTGCCAGGGCCATCATCCCTGTCAAATAATACCATGCGGGACACATTCGTTTTTTCTTCGCGCGCGCACGCCGTCGTCGTCGGCCGCGGGGCCCTGAATAGTAGCCACGGTCGTCCGCATGCCACGAAGTGAAGTGTCCGAACGTCATAGGGCGGGAAGCTGGGTGTGGGTGGTGGCGAAGAGTCGTTTGGAAATTTGGTAGAGCTTGAACCGGCCCCCCCACAAAGTGGGGGTATTGCCCGCCTCCTATGAAAACCCTGGCACTGGTGAGAACGGAGTGTCCCCACGTGCTAGTAATTGTTGAACATTATTACTTCTAAAGAATAATTATTGTTGGGACCCCTGGTGCACGACCCCCCTCCAAAACCTAGGCCGCAGCTACATTTTCATCATTTTTCGCGAAAGCTTCAGAAAAGTGGATTGGTCCGGATCCGGTTGTTTTGTTGTAATCCGTTTTCCCTTGCAAAAAACACTATAAAATGAAAATTCTTGTTCTTACTTGATCAAATTGCAAGAATCCCTTGCAAAAAATAAGGTAAAGTGGACATTCGTGCGCGCAAGACGAAATCCTTCCAAAACCTTAGGTTTCGTAACGATTTTAACATAAAAACATCAAAAACCCAATGGTTTTTTAATAAAAAATTGTCAAAATGTTCTTCCGCGCGCTCTTGCGGATTCGTAGGAAAACCAACACTTTTTAAACATTTCTGTCAAACGGGCTTTTGCGAGCAACTTTTTCGAACTTCTGCGACAACGGTTGCGCACCTGCCAGGGCCATCATCCCTGTCAAATAATACCATGCGGGACACATTCGTTTTTTCTTCGCGCGCGCACGCCGTCGTCGTCGGCCGCGGGGCCCTGAATAGTAGCCACGGTCGTCCGCATGCCACGAAGTGAAGTGTCCGAACGTCATAGGGCGGGAAGCTGGGTGTGGGTGGTGGCGAAGAGTCGTTTGGAAATTTGGTAGAGCTTGAACCGGCCCCCCCACAAAGTGGGGGTATTGCCCGCCTCCTATGAAAACCCTGGCACTGGTGAGAACGGAGTGTCCCCACGTGCTAGTAATTGTTGTTGTTGTTGTTGTTGTTGTTGTTGTTGTTGTTGTTGTTGTTGTTGTTGTTGTTGTTGTTGAACCTTAATTACTAAACAATTATTATTGTTGGACCCCCTATATTCGCCCTGGCGCTCTCGCCGAGGCGCCGGCCGCATTTCCTCTGAAATTGAGGCTCACGCTCAGGCGTTTTGGGGTTCCGCCAAAACCGGCCCCCCAACAACAACAACGCTCCGGCTCGAGACTTCCTCCTTTTTTACTCGGGCTCGGTGCTCTTGCTCGCCGCCGAGAGCGGCTCCCGGGCCGGACGCCCGGGTCGGCGCCCGAGCCGGCGCCCGGGCGCCGGAAAATCGAGTTCCGAGGCGGCGCCGAAAAAAGGCCATTCCAATACACATTTTTCTTTCGAAAATGCTGAATTTCTGCTTCCGGCGCCCGGGAGGGAGGCCGTCCGGGCCGATTCCGGAGCTCGGGCCGGCACCCGGCCCGGCTCCCGGGCCGGACGCCCGGGTCGGCGCCCGAGCCGGCGCCCGGGCGCCAGAAAATCGAGTTCCGAGGCGGCGCCGAAAAAAGGCCATTCCAATACACATTTTTCTTTCGAAAATGCTGAATTTCTGCTTCCGGCGCCCGGGAAGGCCGTCCGGGCCGATTCCGGAGCTCGGGCCGGCACCCGGCCCGGCGCCCGGCACCCGGGCCCGGCTCCCGGGCCGGACGCCCGGGCAGTTCCGATCGCGCCGAAAAGAGGCCATTCCAATACACATTTTTCTTTCGAAAATGCTGAATTTCTGCTTGCGGCGCCCGGGAAGCCGTCCTGGGCCGATTCTGGAGCGGCTGTGGGCCGGACGCCCGAGCCGGCGCCCGTACGTGGTGCTTCTCTGCTTCTGGCGCCTGCGCAGCTTCCCGAGCCGCTTCTGGAACCATATCTGGGCCGGTCCAGCGATAGGTTTCCTGGATGTGCTGAACCATCCAACTTTTTGAGACTTCTGCGTCTCAAGGATAGGGAGAGAAGACATTAAAGGAGGATCAAAAAGCAACGTCGCTATGAACGCTTGGCTGCCACAAGCCAGTTCTACTTACTTGGACTACTACTACTACTACCGTTACCACTACTACTAGTGCTACAGCCGCAACAACAATATCATCGACTGCTGCTACTACAACTACTCATCCTTCCTCCCCCTCCTCCCCCTCCCTTCTCCTCCTCCCCCTCCCTAGCTCTCTCATCTCCCCCTCCTCTTCCTCTTCCTCTCCCTCTGAGATGCGGGGCATGCGCAAGGCGATTGCGAAGGCGATGTGCCGTCCGAGCTATGGATGTTGAAGTTCCTCGGAAGAGGTGGTGGCCAAACCTTCTTGGGCGGGATATCTGGGTGAGGGAATATCGGATCCCGCATGCCAGAAAAATCCCCCATGATGGGGTGTGTTATCCAGATGGATGCATGTGTCATGTGGAAGCATGGCGCATGAGGGTAAAATGATTGTTGTTGTTGTTGAACATTATTTATTCTAAAGAATAATTATTGTTGGGCCCCCTGGTGCGCGCCCCCCCTGCGCCGCCTAGGCCGCAGCTACATTTTCATCATTTTCGTGAGGAAGCCTCAGAAAAGAGGGTGTGTACAGGATCCGGTTGTTTTGTTGTAATCCGCTTTCCCTTGCAAAAAACAATAGAAAATGACATTTCTTGTTCTAATATAATCAAATTTCAAGAATCCCTTGCAAAAAATAAGGTAAAGTGGACATTCGCGCGCGCAAGACGAAATCCTTCCAAAACTTAGTGTTCGGAGCGATTTTAACATAAAAACATCAAAAAACCAATGGTTTTTCAACAAAAAATGTCAAAATCTCATCCCGCGCGCTCTTGCGGATTCGTAGGAAACCCAACACTTTTTAAACATTTCTGTCAAACGGGCTTTTGCGAGCAACTTTTTCGAACTTCTGCGACAACGGTTGCGCACCTGCCAGGGCCATCATCCCTGTCAAATAATACCATGCGGGACACATTCGTTTTTTCTTCGCGCGCGCACGCCGTCGTCGTCGGCCGCGGGGCCCTGAATAGTAGCCACGGTCGTCCGCATGCCACGAAGTGAAGTGTCCGAACGTCATAGGGCGGGAAGCTGGGTGTGGGTGGTGGCGAAGAGTCGTTTGGAAATTTGGTAGAGCTTGAACCGGCCCCCCCACAAAGTGGGGGTATTGCCCGCCTCCTATGAAAACCCTGGCACTGGTGAGAACGGAGTGTCCCCACGTGCTAGTAATTGTTGTTGTTGTTGTTGTTGTTGTTGTTGTTGTTGTTGTTGTTGTTGTTGTTGTTGTTGTTGAACATTATTTCTTCTAAAGAATAATTATTGTTGGGGCCCCTGGTGCACGACCCCCCCCCGCCGCGCCTAGGCCGCAGCCACATTTTCATC